GCAGCGATGATTTCGAGACGTCGTCAGTGATTCCGGGTGAAATGGACTGTCCATACTGTCTCCAGCCTTACCGCAAGGTACACCACGGCGAGACGGCTAGACGTTGGCGCGTTTTTTTCGTTTATTCGTTTCAGTACTTCTTTGTTTGTTGTTTTGGTCGAGTTTTGCTGGACTTTTCGCCGTAGGCAGCAAAGTTGAGGGAAAAATTTTAAATTATTCTAATCTGCGGTTTACAGGTTATCCTGCTTTTCTGGTCAGCTATCGGGTTGGTCAAGACGAGCTTGTAGCCGTAAACTACACATGTCAGATAGCCTGACGATGCGTCTCGTTTGTTCTGACATGAGTGTACGCAAACACCACCTTATCTGATGTTCGCAAATCGATACTTGCTACCCATTTCTCGGCCGGTTGCTTTAAAACACAGGCGGCGAAATCGTTGTTCAAAAGATTCCGCATTTAATAGAGAATCTTTACGCCGTGTATTAGTTTGTTCCTTTGCCCTCTCAAGTACAAAGCCAAAATATGTATTCGCTGCGACATTTCTTTAAGGCATAACCTAGCATCTCAGTTCCTAGCCGAAACAGAAACTCTTAATCTTTTTCTGAGAAACGGTGATCCAACTACGAATAGATATTTCCTCATATCATTCGGGGTAAGCTTGTCTTCCAAGCATACGGACTGTCAGATTTGAGGCTACATTCCGCATTCATGCTAGGAACCAAAGAAACCATCAGTCTATCCTTTGTACCGTCGATAACATGCTTAGATAAGGTTCTTCGATCAGTTCTAAATGTGGAGTCAGAATTGTTTGTAAAGAAATGGGCGATTCAGATGGCAGTTCCATGGATAATATCATATGTGAAGAAGATATAGAATGTAAACAATTTTTCGACTTTCTTAGCTAGATGGAACATCGATGCCTGAGGTTCTGCTGAATTCTTCAAAGCGTTGTTTGTGTATCTTATGATGCTCCTTACTGAAACAGTTAAAATTTTCAAGATGATTGGATATTCAGTTGTTTTTGGATAGAATGACAGGAAGACGTGTTACAAACCCAACATGATGCCATAGAGCATCGGTAAGGACCGGTTTAGGTATCATATGCCATGACAAAATAAGATTGATGTGTTCTCTTTTTTCTCTAAAACAGAGCCTCGAAAACAAAAATAGTCAAATATTGTCTTGAAACTTCTTGGCCAAAACAAAGCCTAAGCTGTTTCGCCTTGTATGGTATCACGCTGTTTTAGAGAGGAATAATTTCATGTGACTAGTCGTTTTTTGTGGACATGCCGATAAACCAGGTGTTCGCTGGCGCAACCTTTATTAACAGTTTTCTGGTGAGTGGTTATTCTGTTGAGCGTTCGGTGTGCCAACCTCACAAACTGTTACCAGTGTCATCTCAACGGATCGAGCGAAATGGAGCTATTGGTGAGGTTTTGACCACAAGCTAATATTCTGGGCAAATGGCGGTCAACTACACGATCTGAATTTGCAAGAACGGGCTCTTACATCATTTCCAATTCCTAAACGAATAAAAGTTTCGAGCCGAATACAATGATTTTAAAAGTTTTGACAGAAGTACCTTAAGCCATTGCCTGTACTCTTCTCTGAAACAATATGATAACTAAATTACATCACGGCATCATGTTGAAAACCGCTTGAACTTGCTATTGCATAAAAATCGGTTTCGTTGAAACGCGGTTCGAATGTGTTGTCATGCATTCATAAAATCCTTATTCTAGCTTTTAGTTTCTGTTGAACAGTTTCCAAACGGCTTTTCTGAAGTTCATATTTGATGGTTCACTTGTTTATTCTTACATTTATTTTTACACCGTAAATACGAGGGAAATCATGCAGAATGCGAGCGACAGCCCGTTAACGGCAGACCAGAGCTCGATCTGTTTAAATCTTGTTGCTTCTCTTCCTGACTTCCAACGGCCCTCTTACTCTTAAAAAAAGCTCTCGCTGTGACGGTGTCAGCACTTCTGTTATGCTCTGAATATTAATATTCCAAATCTCAGTATTTCTGCTGTACAGAGACGTTTGTTTCAGCCTCGCTTGTTGAATTGTCTTCATGCGTTTTGTGAAGACTGCATCGTTGCGATGCTCGAAGGCCGGAAAGACAGACAAACAATAGTCAACAATCAGCTGGATCAGGAACTAGAGCCCGGCGAAAATGCAGACGCTAAACCGCCACCTGGAGTCGTCCGCTGCCCCGTCTGCAAGCAGGTGACAAAATCTTTTATTTCATATATGGGCTGTAGTCAATCGCGTTTTTGTCCGAAATTACTCTAAGTTTAATTGTTTTTATGATTTATTTTAATTTTAAATTTTACCCATTACGTATCGTAACAGAAAATTGTGTGGGAGGCCAACGCCTGCGGTTGTTACAATTTTGACCAAGAAGATTGCTGCGCCATATACATTTTTTGTCGAACATCAGAAATATTGAGCAAACTCTGGACTCATAAACGAGATTAAAGCGATGACAAAATA